GGCAAGGAAACCTGTTAAGGCGTGACACCCCGAGGGGGGCCTCAAGATGCCCCCACATTGAGAAAAGTCAGGTCGTTCCCAGTAGCAGTGTAAGACAGTCTCTCACAGGATGAATAGCTAGTTCTTTGCCTATTGTGAAAAATGATACTGCTCTAGATGGTAGCTTGAATAGTGATGAAGAATCAAATGTGAATGGACAAAATGAGAAACGCATATTTTTGCAAACTTCTATTAATGATAAAAGACCTCAGTTGAAAGTGAAAATTAATAACAAAATTATTACTAGCTTAGGAGACACTGGGGCAGATGTGACTAGTATTACCAAAAAGGCTTGGCCTCAGAAATGGCCTCTTAAAGAGGCAAAGGTACAATGTTTAGGAATTGGAACTCTATCTAGGGTTCAACAGAGTGTTAACTTGGTGGTCTGCATTGGACCACAAAGACAGAAAGGGAGAATGAAACCATGTGTGGCAGATATAGCTATAAATGTCTGGTTCATGATCTCTTACAGAAATGGAATACTCAGATTAATCTACCTTCATTGTTGGATAAAATTATGTACAATCTTTAGATAGTAGAAAAGATCTGGTAAGACGCTATGGAAAACGGTTACCAACCATCCATGATGTACAGTAACTAGGTATAAATGACGGACCTTCAGAGGACCCAAAGGCCCTGCCATTGAAATGGCTTGCAGATGAACCTGTTTGGGTGGGACAATGGCCTATGACCTCTGAGAAGATAGAGGTTTTCGAAAAGTTAGTACAGGAATAGCTAGAAAGTGGACAACATAGCTGAATCTAGCAACCCTTGGAATTCTCCTGTATTTGTTTTCAAAATGAAGTCAGGTAAGCGGAGAATGTTGACAGACATGAGAGCCATAAATAAGGTAATTCAACCAATGGGCTATCTGCAACCTGGAAAGCCATTACCTTCCTTGATAGCTAAAGGATGTCCTATTATAATAATTGATCTAAGAGACGGTTTTCAGATTTTTATATTGAGAATTGTCTATTTAGTTCTGTACCCCATTTTTT